ATATATCTGTACCGTTATCGTTCGGTTTTCATTTTTATATTTTGTTAAATGCCGTTTCTTTGTTTATATCTTGAATTTGAATGCAAGAAATTGAGCTGAAGTCAAGGGTTATTAATTTTCTAATTACATTTTATTTGCTTGAATATTGTATTTTAATGTCCTGTGGAAATTCGAACGTTATGGATTCCTTTACATTTTTATTTATTTGATTACTTTATTTAAGATTAATTTCCATGCTAAAGCGTTTCCGTTGCATTTATTGTCTGGGTTTTAATTTGCCTCCCTGCTAAAATGTTATATTTTAATTAAGAAATTTTGCATTCGCATAGGTTTCTTCAGTTCTTAATTATTCATATACATGTCTTGAATTTTTTAATTTCCATTAGCTTATTTTCGATTAAAAGTTGCCATTGAGGCTTTTTATCCTGCCGCTTTGAAATTTCTTTAAGCCCACTCGTAACTTTAATTACTTGATTAGATCGTGTTTTTTAACTAAGGCAGAAAAAAAAGGTTCAAAAGCTGAAAATGCGTCAAATAGAATAGTAGAAACCTGTTTTTTTTTTAGCTTTTTTCTCATTGTTTTTCCGCAAGAAGCGCGGAGCGTCCATGTTAAAAAAGCAGCAGCAACAACAACACAGCCAAAAGCAAAAGTAACGCAGACGAATGTAAATACATATACACGAAGCAGCTAAGCTCCGCCTCTGCGGCACACATGCACACACACACTCACACATAGCAGCTGCTGCTTGTGCGCATGAACAAAGGCCGCGTCGCGGCAGCAGAAGCTGCAGCAGCACACACGCACACACACATGCACAGAGAGGAAGTGCATATAGTTGTCTCGCTTGCGCTTGCTGCTGTTGCGCCTGTTTAAGCTGGCAACGCCATTTCTCTTTTGTGCTGGCTTCGCTGCCGACGTCGCTGCGGCCGCCATGGTGCGAAGCCGCCGTCAAGGCATTTAGAATCGTATTTGAATTTTTATAAACGCTCGAGAAACGCTCAACGCTTGACGCGCGCGCGTTTGTTTGCTGCTAAAGAATTCGTTCAAAGAAGAAGAAAAAGAAGCCACGTTTTGTGCTGTGTTTTTTAACGTGGGCGTGCTTAAAAAGAAATATATACATATATGTATATATATATATTTATAAAAAACGAAGGAATTTTGGCTGCGGCAAATGACAAGTGACATTCCAGAAAAATAAAGTCAGGTGATTTGCTGGCTTAAACCACTGTGCTATAAACTGTGTAAAGACTAAAACTAAAAATATTATAAAATATATATCTAATATATATATGCAAACACAACAATAAATGCAACCACATAACCGCAACGAGTGTGGAAAAAGTGAAAGTCTCGCTATGTGGCATAAATAATAGGAGTTACCAAACGTTAAACAGGGTGCAACTTAGTGCTAACAATAGGCAACCCAACCAAGCCAGGCGCTGCCTCAAGTGTGACCATTGTGCGATTCTAAAAAGCCAGCGACGAGACGGCTAACAACAACAACAACAAAAAACCAAATAAAAACAAGTCAAAAAAAAAATAATCAACAAAAATTCATTTTCAATATCGAACAATCAGATTGTGAAAAAGTCTGCAGCGGAAACTGTTGTTGTTGCCGTTGTGATTGTTGATTCTGCAACACACACATAGCCCGACATTACATAATTGTCAAAGAGTTGTAAAAACAACAACAACAACAAACGGCATTTATTGCAACAATTTTGTGTTCAATCTGCGCAACAAAAGGCTAGCGAAAAAAAATAAACTCGAATCACACTTTTCGACTGTTGTTGCCTTTGTTTGGATTACAAAAATATATTTCACAGCTACGCTCGCATAAATTGCAATTGCAATTGCATAAAGAAAAGGTTTGTACGAATCGCCTTCGTTTTTTTTTTTGGTTTGATTTGATGGAGGTGCTACAATCTATTGATTTGACCGCCTTATTTTGATATTCATTTTTGTCAGCTGGCATTGCCACATTCCTATCTAACAAATAAGACCCACGTAGTTGTTGTTAATTATGACAGGCTGCAACAACTTAAGATGGTTTGCGATTATAGTTACAGAGTTTCTGCTGCTTATAGAGATCTATGCCTGATAGGGGCTGTTCAAATCGTAACTTATGTTATGTTAAGATAACTGAGATTCTGTGCTCAGAAGGTTCTGTTTATTTAGGCTTTGCTTTTCTTTGAATTCCTGCGACAAATTTTGCTATTTATCTATTGCAATATTGCAATTAGTTTTATTCGCACAATTTCATAAATGCAGAACCCAACTTTGTATGAGTTAAAGGACAAGTCGCATTTTGAATAGCATTTGCCTCAGGTATTTCCTTTTTAATATATTTGAACTAGTTTCCTTAAAATGTAAGAATTAAATGTAAGAAAAGGAAAACTTGTCATTCTGGAGAACCTCGAAATTTTCTATTAAATAGACTACAAAGCTCCACCCGCTCATTAAGCGTTATTCTGTTGTCTCTGCACAGGCTCAATTAGACTTATAAATTCATTGATCTCGAAACATAAAAAGAGGGAGGCCTACAGAATGTTTGTAAGTAGTTTTTCATATTCCATGTTCAAAGTTGATTTCCCTAACTTGTTCAAACAGTAAAAGAGTCTTGCTTATTATTAATTAAAGTCTAATAAGCAACTTTATCTGTCTATCTATATCTATATCTTGTTTAAAAAACTCCAGAAATTGGACTCCTTTTATTTGATATATGCTCATATGAGGTACAATTTTGAGATATATTCAAGTCAAGCATTTGATTGGGCTAAAAGGCTTTTATCGAAAGCGTTTTTTCGCCGACGGCATACGCCCCCCAGGATGTTTACCCAATTTAGTTGCTATAGCATCTGATTAGGCATGCATATTGGTTATACTGCCACGCCCCCGCCCACACACAAGCACTAGTAGCTGTTGACAATTCCAGGCCATTAAGCATTGGTTGAATGAAACTTCCTGAAAGGTAATCAAAAATAAAACTTGAAGAACGCCCAACGAGGCGACGAGCCCAAACAAAAGCTGTTCCATCAACGCCTTTTACGAGCTACGGAAATATTATAAGGCCGTATATGTGAACAAAGTCCAACACCTTTTAGGCCGTTGTCGCTTAATTGCTGGTGACAGACGGCACACACACACACACACACAGCAAACAAAACGCAAGGCAAATCGAATAATATTTTTATAGACATTTACAACAATGCGGCCAAGCCAAGCAAAACACGCAGGCAACATGGCTAAGAACAGAAGAGACAAACAACAAGCCCAAAAATGATAAGTAAACAGCTAACACACACACACACATGCACACATGCATAGTTAAATTACAGCCAAACTGTTACCAAAAAAAAAAAAAAGACCGAATTAAATGCCGGGCCTAAAATAACAGGCTAAGGCCTAGAAAAAACATGGCCAAACAGCCGTAGTCTGTCTCTGTATGTGTGTGTGTGTGTTGGCCAGAAAATGGTCGCAATGGAATGTATTTTGTAACCAATCGTAAGAACAACATTGAGAAAGAATTGTTCCAGCCATGCGGCCGTTTATTTATTCTAATTTTCTGACCCTACTCAAGTGCCAGCCGCAAAGGTCGTGAGCGTCGTCACAGCACTTGAGCGGACCCGACCAACTTTTTTGTTCCTTCTTTTTCCCATTTTTTTATATATTTTTTTTTTTATCTAGATATGGTCTGGTCGAGTGCCCGGTTTTGTGGTGCGCCCACCAGTTTCTTGCAACCGTTTGAGCCACATATTTATATTTATTATTTAGTTTGTCGAGCTACCACTTTCGGACACTACCTTTCGTGGAATTGAAGGTGATGTTAAGTAGTAATTTACTGATAATGTGGACTCGCATTTCCCATTTCGTTTTTCCCTACAATACCCCAATGCAAATATTTAACTTTTGTCAATATTTTGTGGCCCATTCTGCTCTCAGCTATTGTAAGCGATACAGAAGCTTTGGAATAGATATTTGATTGAGGTTCTTTTATACCCTATGCAAATGTGTCTAACAGGCAGTAGAAAGCAGCTCCAGCTACTCTCGGTCATCATCAAGGTTCGAGTCGATACTCTTGGGAACTTTAGGAGCTTTAAACTTGCCCATGTCACGCGCAGTCCGAATCATCGATAAGCGGCCTGTTTTCCAGAAAACGATAAGAATCTATATCGATATCATGTTTTTTTTTAGCATATCTGAATTAGTTGTAGGCTCTCGAGTAGCATATAGTTTTATACATCCCGAATATTTTAGTTTATGGATAGGCCCTCGAGTAGTATATATCCAAAATATTTTACCTTACGAATAGATCGATTCACTAAAGTCAAAGTTTGATAAAGATCGGACTACGAAAACCGAAGTTAATCAAGTTTGGGACTAGGGGAAGAAGAAGTGCATCCGCAGCTTGCCCGTAACGGCAGCTCGGCGCTCGGTACAGGGCATCCACCAGTCGAGCACACCCGACTGGAGCACTTTTATTTGTTTTGCTTATATTTATATTTGTGCATTTCGAACTCGAAGCTGTCAAAACGAATCATAAATTAAGCATTTACTTGGAATTGACTTTTCCGTACAGTTTTTGGCCATTTTCTCAGCTGCTTCCGTCAGTTGCAGGCATCTACTATGATCTTTAGATATTTATGATTAATGATTGTTGCACTCTTGTTTATTTATCGTTTTGATCTTTTTGATTTGCAATCATATTCCACTGGGAAGTGCTACTGTTTTTTTTTTTGCTTTGAGCCCAGTTTCGTTTCTTCTCTTGGGATTAAATATATATTTTTTGCTAAATTATTGATGACACTCTGGAGAGTTTTGGCTGGCATCAAAATATTTTTGTATATTTACAAATGTTTTCGAAATTGTAGAAAGGAAAGTAAAGTGGTTCGATGTGCGCCTCTTGGGGTCTCTAATGCCCTTTTTTCTTTAGTATATTATTCAATTGATTTGTGCCTGGAGATGACTTGACTTAAATGCCTATTCTTGCCACCCACAGGTGAATACATACGCTTGCCGCTGGATGAGCTGCTCAACGACGTGCTGCAACTGTCTCCCTTTCCACTTGTAGACGACGTGGTAAGTTCTGTTCCCTGCATTCCCTCTTTCGCCGAGGCTCTGTCTAAACTGCGAACTTTCTCTGAAAATGTTTTAGCTAAGCAACGATTCGGTTGCATCCACATCGCAGGCCGCTGCTGCAGCTGCTGCTGCCGCATTGAATAGCAAGCCAGCGACGCGCATTGTCTCCGAAACTGGTGAGGATTTGGCCTTTGTGGAGCAGGAGTCGATCGATAAGGATAACGAGGCCAGTTACTCGGCCAGCGATTTTGAGGATCTGCAGGACTCTGTGGGCTCGCCCCTGTTCGATTTAGATGACGAGGCCAAAAAGGAATTAGACGAAATGTTACAATCAACCGCACCGCCCTACCATCACGCCCATCCCCATGCCCATGCGCACCACCATCCGGCGCACCACCATGCCCATCATGCCCATCATGCGGCCGCCGCGGCAGCGCATCAGCGCGCCGTTCAGGCGAGCGCCAACTATGCCAACACCATGGGCAGTGGACCGGTCAGCGCCTTCCAGCGTCAGCCGCCCAGCTCGGCGGGCTATCACCATCATGGCCATCATCAGGTAAGCCCAAAATAAATGCATCTCGAATCCTGCGAGCAGCCAGTGCGGATGCGTGTTTTTTAAGTGCTCGCATCCGTTGTGCCCAGCCCCATCTCTTTGTATATATATACATATACATATATATATATATATATATGAATATGTGTATATAAGTATATATGTGTACATTTAAAGCCATTCAAGGATCATTTGCACGTCGTTTTGGAGTGTTTTTCATCTTCTTGATTCATTTTTTTGCCTCGCTGCCTGCTGCTTTGGACTTTTTTCTTCACGTGCTCCGTTCTCGAGCACTTGATCTTGGCTCGCATCATTGTTGTTATTCTTTTTCTTATTTATTTCTTTTTCGATTTTTTTTTTTTAGCTGTTTGTACAAAGCTTCAAATCTGGTTGTATATATCCAAAACCCCATCCACACTCCACGCTCCATCCGCTGCCTTCATCCGTTCCGTTTCTCGTTTCAGCCACAAGTTCGTCAATCTGTGGCTCGTTGTTGGCTTTTGTTGTAACTGCCTCATCAAAAAGATTGAGGCGAGCAACGTATACATATACATATATCTGTGTATATACATATGTGCATTTGTTGTTGCCTCATCTCAAAATTGTTGCTGCCGCTGCCGCTGCTCCTCTTCAGCTGCGCTCAAGTCTTGTAAAGATTCTTTTGGGCTACGCTGCCCTCACGATGTGTCTGATCTGTGTGAAGCTCTGTCTGGGCCTTGTTTCGTTTGTTTGCGCAGCTTGTATGCTCTGCTGGAGCTGCAAGTCCACCCCGCCCCCCTGCCACCATGCTGCCACCTATTGATATGATTTTGATTCGTTGCTGCAATACAACTATGCAAAATGTGACTCACAGCCCAAATTAAGGCAGCAACTGTACTAAAGATATTTATTTTATATATGTTTCTGCAGTCGAACATTATTTTGAATAGAATTCTCATGCATATTCATATAGTTATTGTGTTACTTGACATGTTATGATAATGGACTCTTCCAATTGCAAAGTTATCATAGAACTCTAAGGTCTTCCAGGTCTTGTAATAAATAATATTTGAAATTAATTACAAAAGTTCGTGTGAAAATATGCATTTTTGTATAAATTATGCATATTTCACATTGATCTAGCTACAATTTGCCAATTTCTGGCCGTCTAACCGTATGTTAGCAATCCTTTTTTACGCTAGGAACTTTGAACCTCCGATCAAATACTCGTCAATTAAAGTTGTTACACATTCTAATATATATAAATGTATATATAGATGTAAGTCATAGTTTCGGAACTGGACATCCATTATAGACATCTCTAAAGATTTCCGAAGATTTCTCCTCTGAAGATCAAGTCACAAAAATTGAAGGCACGCCCACTTTCAGCCTTCTTTTTTTTAGTTTTAGTTTAAATGTCACCTTCAGAAATAGTATCACACTATGAAAAATACTGCTTTTGGGTTTTAATTCTTGAAATAATTTATTATAATTAAATAAAATGACACTGTGATTGGAGTACTGCGCTACCAAGTTTGTATACCCTTATAGAGGGTATTAGAATCTAGTCATGCAGTGTGTAACGCATAGAAGGAGATATCTCCGACCATATAAATTATATAAGTATATTCTAGATCAGCATCAACATGTTTGTCGGTCCGTCTGTCTGTTTCTATGCGAATAGTCCCTTAGTTTTAAAGCTATCGTCATGAACCATTGACGGATCGGACTACCACACCATATAACGATCGGTCAAAAAGTAGGTTCCTTCCTTTCAGTTTTCGATAATAAATGTAGAAAAGTTAAAGTGCATGAATTTCTTGTAGTAGCTTTTGTGCGCTTGTTGATCTATTTATTTGGGTGCTATATGTCTTCTGTCCCCGGGCCTAATCCCACCGCAAATCCAGCTAAACAAGTGCAGCATCAAACGATCAAAACCAGCAAAACATGTGAATGAGCGAAGCCGTCTAAATAGTTGGCCTGGCTCTGTGGCACGCATCTAATGAACTCGAACAATGGCAGCTATTGAATAGATGCCAGGCCATCCACAGTTGTCAAAGATACACTCGCACACACATACACACGCACACACACGCACAGCTGAGCAGTCATGAAGTCAGCGGCAATTACTGTTAAGTCTTTTGCGTCGAGCCACACACACAAAATGCCGCACGCTGTGGTCAGCCGCAACGGGGATTAGAGGTGAAACCGCGTACCCGAAGCCTGACCCTAACCCTAACCCCTATGCTACCCTATTGTTGTTTTTTTTTCTGAATGCACAGCGGGTTGCTGCGGCTACTTGTTCGCTGCACTTGCAGCAAAGCCATTTAATGAGCCAGATGATCTGTTTTTGGCTTTCGCAGGAAGCGCAACGGCAAATCCTGAAAAGCGGCAAAGGCGACGGCTTAACCGCCAGCTACCTTTCTCTCCCTCTCCCTCTCCCTCCCTCTCTCGCTCTTCCCGCCCTGTCGCTCTTGGCCCGCCAGTGTCATTAGGCGAGCGGCAGGCTTTAGTCACTCTGTCGATCTTGATTATGATTATGTAATACGTGTGTGTGCAAAGTGTCAGCTTCCTGATAACATTTAATTTGCCATTTGTGCTCGTAACTAAACCTCTGGCTGAGCCCCAGCAGCCCCTTCGTCCCGCCGCCACTGTCTGCTAATTGCAATCACAATGCAAAAAAACAAAAGGGGGGCTTAATACAAAAACTTGGCTTAGCTCCGTGTTCATTAAAGCCGCTTTGTTGTTGCTGTTGTTGTTGTTGCTGCAATGCGCCACTTGACTTTTCCGCGTGGCGAAGTGTTTATTGAATTCGGTGGCACTTGCCGCCAAGCCAGCCCTGCCCCCTTCCCTGTCCCCCCCGCAAACCCTATCCGCCCGCTCAGCTCTACGCCTTGATTGCAGCTTTGACTCGACTGCGGGCACTTCAATTGCTGCTGCTGCTGCTGCTGCAGTAGCCCCTGCAATTAAATCTCCATTTAGTAAGCGCGAATACAACAAAAAAAAGTATCTTTTAATGCCTGCAGCTCTGTGCGACCCCCCCCCCCCCCCTCTACCACCACTCAGCCCAACCCTGCGGCGCCTTAATCGCCGCGCGCAGCTTTAATTATGTGAATTTTAAATATTTACAAAAAGCTTAGCACAAAATCAGCGCAAAAAACTTTATTAATTATTTTACAGCATCTTCGAGATATGTATATATATATATGTACAAGTTTTTTTCGCTGCTCTTGAGATTTCTGCTTTTTGTACGTTTTTAATTCAATTTATGTAAACAGTTTGATGGCTGTCGCTGTCCTCTTGAGACTCGTTTTGCGCACACATAAATCAAATTAATGACAAAAAAGCGCAAAAAAATGTAGTACTAGCAAAAAAATAAAAAACAGCAATCGATGTTGGCGAACAGAGACACAATCCCTAACTATCGGAGCTTGGCTTAAAACGTGAGATTTGGAATTTCCTTTTGGTGAAAGTTTTTTGGGAAATTTTAGCATCAAGCAATAAGCTAATTACGGATATACAAGTCTAATGGCAAAGTTAATTAAACAAATATATGTCTATTCAACAAAAGCAATTGCGTTTAGACAAACAAATATTTGAACAATTTCCTAGAATTTGTAACTAGTACGTATATCAATTTCTATTATGAATGAATTGCGCAATAAATTGTTATAAGCTAAGAAATTTTAGGAGCTTAAATTCATTAAAAAAGAACTAATTACAAGATCTCTGGGCATTCCCGCAATTGCCATTAAGCTCAGATTGTTATGGATATCTCCTAATAATATTGTTGATACCCCATAATAAGGGTATTCACACCAAGTCTAGAGAGCTAATATTGAATGGAGTTCAAAGATCTTTTCTTTAAGGGTAAATGTAACTTTCTTACACCTTAAATATACCTTTAAAAAAAAAGAGAATACTCTTGAGAACTTAAAAATTAGCCTATTGAAGCTTAAAGACTAATAGAGCTTTCTTAAAGATTTCATTAAGCGTCAACAAAACTTTTTTCAAGAGTTCAACGAGCTTTTCTAAACAATTTGAAAGAGCTTTTCCAATAAAATTATCACATTTTAAAAGTGATTAAACCTGTATTAAACAGCTTTCTTCCCGAGAAAATATATTTTTTTAAATTAATAGAGCTTTAAAATGTAAAATAGTTTGCTTTGGGTATATTCAGTTGAGTATGGTAAGGTAAAAGAGCTTCTCAACAGTACATAGAATTCCTAAGGCATTTATAGAGCTTCCTCTATGATTTCATAGAGCTTTTATTAAGACCTACTAGATCTTCACTTAAGAATAAAGAGAGCTTTTCCTTAGAAGTATCTGAGATATATTTAAGAAACTATAAAGATTTTTTAGATCTAAACTAAATTGATCCGTGTTTAAGAAGTTATTAAGATTTCTGAAAGAGTTCACAGTTCTTTCTTTATGATATTTATATCACTATATATTATATAAATTACTTTATTGCATAAAAGTAGAGCTTTCTATGAGACTTTGCTAGCTTAGAAGATTGAAATCTATTACATTCTTTATGCTATGATTTATTTTTCAAATATGAATATGAAATTTTAACTTATCTACAGTTATCGATAGGCTAGTAACTGGATGTGGGATTGTCTAAGAAATGTTAAGTTTATAAAATATATCCTAAACAAACATTCTAAACTTCTTTTCAACTAATCAAATGAATATTATTTGGATTGATTAATCATGAGTGTGCATAAATATGTATATTCGGTCTAATGCTAAGCTGCTTAAGTAATAAATATATTTGGGCCGATAAATCTTTATAGTTCCGATCTGACAGCTATGCCGAACATCGTGCAACAATTTCTTGAAACGGTACTCTGAGCGTTAAGTTTGACTGGAGCCTGAGCTAACGGCAAAAACTCTAATGAAAGCATGCGGCAACGCCTCAAGACTTGTCTCCATACATTTATAAGCATGTCTTTATGTGTATGTGTATGTGTGTGTGTGTGTGTGTGCGTGTGCGTGAAGATTGTGAGACTGCTACCGTATCTAAGCCCCTGCAGTTGGTTTGCTTTGCGTGTGAAACGCGACAAAACAATGGCCAGTGGCTGGCAAACTAACACCAGAAGTTAATGACAAGACAGTGACAATTGAAATTACACACACTCGGCCCAACACACACACACACACATACAGTCCAATCCACACACACAGATTTACACTCTGCACATGCAACTGGCCAAAGTAAACGCCCCGTTTACCTGCCCTGGCGACTGGCTTCGGTTGTTGTTTTACCTGTTTGCTCAGGAGCGTGTTGAGGCATATATTAGATGTGCACACACACACACACACACACATGACTGTGTGTTTGTACAGCCTCTCTCACATACACACATACACAGACACACACACACACATGCCAAGTCTGAGCTGCATTCGGTTTGCTTTTGCATCTGTATCTCCAGCATGTGGCTGGTGCTGTATCTTTAGCTGTATCTGTATCTGAGCACTGTCAGTCAATGTTGTCTCGGGCCCAAATCTCACACGACAACTCAACGTCAAGGAGTCAAAGTCGCCGTCAACGGAACGTTCACCGGTTCGGTTCATTTCAGTTGAGTTCAGTTCAGTTCAATTCGGTTCAATTCAATTCACTTAAATTCCGTTCGCTTCGTTTCAATTTGATTTATCTCCCTTTCTGTTGCTGTTGTTGTTGTTCCATTTTACACCTACTCAGTCCTCGCGTCATATTTCGTTGTTAAAATTTATCTGCAACTCAATCTGAATGTCAATGCCGGCCGCATCCTCCAAGTGCATCAACGTCAGTGTTTGGGCCAGGTTTGATGGCTGGCGGCTTTTAGCGCTTAATTGCGGCGTTTAACAAATTGTTTCGAGGAACGCGCGAGAGTCCCTCAGCTTGTGTGCGTGTGTGTGTGTGTGTGTGTGTGTGTGTGTATCCGTGAGGTATGTGGTAATATATGTGCATATATTTTAGACTGGCGCCCACGCCTGGCTGTATGCAATACGAAGAGCTCTACTGGAATTAGTTAAGCAAATAAATAAACCAGACCGATAATTAAGAATAACAAAAGCTTCGACTAATGAAGTCGTCTCACAGCACGAACTGTCGATCACATACAGATACAAATGCAGATAGAGATAGAGATACAGATACAGATACTGTTGCTGAAGCTGACTGAAAGGCAACCCAAATCGAATGCGACCGCTGACTGCGGCACTTGTCAAATTGAACGATACGAATTTGTATTTCAATTCCATGTTGATCGATCTTCGGGGGCAACCCAAGTCGCAACCAAAATCGCCAGATTGATACATTGTGCACGTTTTTTGGCTTAAAAGATCCGTCGGCTGGCGGGACGGACAAACAACAAACAAGTCAAGTTTTACTTGCAGCGCAATTTGAATTTAGTTTTTTCTTTTTTTTTTTTTTTGTATCTTTTATTATTTTTTGTATCTGTTTTTTTTTATTTTCTTGTCTTGTCTGCGGCTTATTGTTGCTTAATTCTAGAGAATTCCGTAAACGGAGTCTTGCATGATTGATCGCTTATTTATTAGTTTATTTCACAATGAGTCTTCCTCTCTCCCTCTCCCTCTCTCTCTCTCTCTCTCAGTCCATCTCTCTAAACCCTTCTCATCTTGTTAATACATCAACAGTTTGGCGTAGCTTCTCATTTTCACACAAATTAATCATTTACTCCTTTTTCCAGGGCCGCATGCCGCGCCTGAATCGCAGCGTCTCCATGGAGCGTCTACAGGATTTTGCCACCTATATGGGCATGGGCGTGGTCGGCGGCGTCTCCGATATGCCGCCCTATCCGCCGCACTACACCAGCTACTCGTACCAGAGTCCAGCCGTGCCACCCAGCGCCCAGCATGCCGCTCAGTACGGCCAGCCGGCTGCCACGTTGCCGCCACCACCGCCGCCGCCGCCACCGCATCATGGCCATGGACACGGCCACCATGCGGCCATGCTGCATGCCAATTCGACGCTGGGCGATCTCTGCTCGGCCGCCGGCGGTCAGCCCCACTATGGTCACAACCTGGGCTCGGCGGTGTCCTCCAGCATGCATTTGACCAACTCCAGTCACGAGGTGGATGGCGCTGCTGCTGCCGCTGCAGCCGCTGCGGCCGCTGCCAGCAGCAACTACAAAATGGAACACGAGATGATGTATTATGCGGTAAGCGATCTGGGATCCAGCGATCGTCAGCGATCAGCGATCGGCGATCCGGCTATATGATTGAATATGAATTATGATTTTACGCAGAGAGTGTTAACCGATTTGTTATTTCAGAACACTTCTTCGGACGTGAATCACACGGATGGTTTAATCAATTCGTTTTTCAACGACGAGGATCTTCACTTGATGGATATGACGGAGAGTAAGTGATCAATAACAATAGCTCTCTTCCCATTTACAATCAGTTAATAAGCAGTAATCACCTTGATAGGAATCTATAGATTTAGAACTTTTTTTTTTTTTTTTTGGTCTATCATGAAGCTAATTTGCCTTTAGCTACTATCATGAACTATCGAAATTGGCAATTTGCAATAAATATTGTTTTATTGCTTTGCTCAACTTTTTTTAATTTAGTACAAATGCCTTACCTGTGCACAACTCAAGCTTTGAAAGCTTAAAGCTTGTCAAGAGCTTTACGAGTTATTTTTGTTATCTCTGAGCGTGCGAGAGAGTTGCTCACATATTAATCTAAATGTGTAAATATCTTGCGTTCTAAATATATAATTTTAACTATCTAGTAAATTAATGAATTTAATTAAATTACGTTTTCAGTAATTGCATATGTTATAATTATTTGATCAAGTTTTTAAATATTTAAAGAGGATTTTATTTAAAAATCGAAAGAATTAAATTATTATTTTTGTTACTTTCCATTATATATTCTGTACTTTTTATTCAGTTCGTAAACTAGCCAAAGCTTTAAAAGCTTTTTATCAACATTAAATTACGTCAATTTCAGTTGTTTTAGTCATTTTTCTTATTTCATAAAAGAAAAATATATGAATTCATAACTAATACTATAAATTTGTCATACTACAAATACTTGAGTGTTTGTGCCAGAAGCCAGGCCCCAAGGGCTAAATAGACTTCATTCGAATTCAGTTTGAGTCACACCCACATGCGCTGCTGACTCGGCGGCCGGAGCTTTCACTCCAGAACATTGCTCAAGTTGCGCGACAGCATAACAAAAACAACGCGTGCGTAAGCTAAGCAACAACAACAGCAACAACAATAACAAGGCACACACACACATACGCAAGAGAATTTGAAAACTGACAAGCTTTTTTTGACTGTTGCCTGCCGTTGTTGCTGGCACATTTTGCTGTTAGCTCAGTTGTTGCTCTGCACTGCTTTGCCGTATTCTGATTAGCATAAAATTCGTGAAATTAGTTTAAATTTGAGTGAAGAACAACGCTTGCTCAGCGGCGCGAGCTCAATCGTCGCCACGTTCGGCTCTTTTCGACCGCTCGCGGCCCGCTCGTGTTTCGCGCTCAATTCAGGCAAAATTTAAAAATGAGCATGACAAAAGCAAAGCAACAAGAACACCGCACAATTCCGAGTCAATCAGTCGAACACGAACAATCGAATACGATAGTGAAGTAAATATGTGTATTCAATGAAATAGTAGTAAAAAAAAAATTAGCAAACAATAATATACGAAGAAAAAAAAAAGGAAAACGACTACGTGCAAGAAACGTGACAGCACTCTTATACAATTAACATAAATTAATAAGACTTATTGATAAATGAAACAATGACGCACTTGGCACATTAATCAAACGCGAAAGCGGCACTAGAAACTGCACAACACACCAAATTCATGCATACGTGATACACATACATACACATATTTAAAACTGTTCTCACATGTATTGGTGCATCGCGAATTTAGAACGTTTGATGACGCGCGAGTAACGTATTTTTGTGGCAAAAAAAATAAAAAAAAATTTAAATAAAATAAAACAAAATCGAAAATAATCGAGCAAACGAACACGAGAAACAGCCCCAAAAACGGCCGCCCAGACTAGACAATACGCAAATCAACAGGTGAGAGCAAGGGGAAAAATGTGTGAAAATGAGCAGCGTATTTGATAGCGCCAGAGAAGCGGTGGCAGTGGCAGCGTCAGCGGCATCGGCGCCCAGTGCGGGTGGTGGCCGCTGCCAGCGCAGTCGGTGTTTTATTTTTATGCTCAGGCGTACAAGTCAAAAGCACAAAACCCATTTAAATATTTGCCGCGTAACAATTTTTTTCATTAGTCATGCTGCGCAACCAGCTCTGCTGCCGTTGCCGCTGCTGCTGATATCAGCAACGTTGCGCAGCAACGACAACGACAATGTTCTAAAGCGCGCTCTCTCACACGCGCAACATCGTTTTCGCTCTCGTGAGCGTCGCTCACACACACTGGCACACTCACACGTACTCTCTCTAATGCGCGCTCAGCAAGTTTTGTTGCTGCTGCTGTTGCCGTTGGCTGTTTACTATTTTTAAACTGCTGAGTCATTTTATTCGAAGCAATAACGTTAAAGCACAATATCAAAAACAACAACACAAAAAAATACATAGCACGATATCGTTGAGTCGTTATATTCTAGCGCTCTCAATGTACGAATGTTTTTATTATGAACGCACTAATTGTTGTCGCGCCACCCTCTCGCTCTCTCTCGCTGTTTCTCTCTCTTTTTGTCAATGCATTTTTGGCATAAAATGACAAAAAAAAAAGTCAAAAGAAATTACGTTATTGGGTTACGTGTTTGCGTTTGCGACATTTTTAGACAAAGACAACAAATGTGCGCATTCTCTTCAGCGCGCTGTTAAAACGTGCAAAAGCTTTAACCGTTATCTCTATTAAACTTCCGTTATTAGTTAGGTTTTTTTTATTTTTATTTTGTTTTTTCGTGGCATGTTCCAGGGCGCTATTCGTATTGCACTCTGCCCACTGATAACTTCGACCTACAATTTTGTATTGTATTTTGCCAAGTCATCAATGTTTATGGGCTTGACCTTGCCATGCCGGCACACGTATAGACGTATAGACAATGCTGAATAAGTACACATACATATATGTTACCTTAATCAGCTCACATTTAAAATAATGAGCCAAAAATTGAGCTTAATTACTTGCCCTCAAATGTGACAATGATTGGGACTCAACATTTTGGGCGGGCACCTTCGAACTTGTATGTAGGATATAAACTGTAACCGTAGGTGTCCTTTAAAGAGAGCTTTCACTGTCTGCATATGCTAGCTGGCATTACCCGACATTGCTCGTCTCAAGAGTTTTTCTTTAAATTGCAACCGTTAGATTATGGAAAATATGTGAAATACTTATCGAACGAGTTTTTACTTAGATTAATAAATGGAAAATCAGATTAAAATGTTAATATAAATAAATGTGAATATTGCATTGTAGCATATAACTTATATCGAAACATTCAGAAATGTATATCTCAAGTTTTCTATATATATTCAACTTCATTTGCGCTTACAAGCTTAAGCATAGTACCTAAGATCACATGGTTCAACGAGCAAGGCGATAAGATAAGCCGAGACCCAAAAAATAGCGCTCAACAGACCTCTCGGGTACATATAGATAGGTATATATATACATATATGTATATACATACATTTAACTACCCTCAGACATTTCGCAATGTGCATGGAATGGAAAGTGAGACGTTCAAAAAATTGGTATACCTGGGAGCTTGGGGACAGCCTAGAGATAGAGGTTGATATAGATAAGGAGCTACCGCGACGATAAGCAATACGGTGTGAATACGTAAAATGACTGCGACATTTTCTCATATGTATATAAAAATATGCTGAATAAGCGAAAGGTGCAAAAAAGCTAATCTATATAGAGCAGGAATCTACACATACAGTGAAAGCTCGCTTGGGGGAAAAAGGCAAAGTAAAATTAATATAGGGAAAAGAAGGAAAATCTCTAAAAATAATTCATATTTGTTTTTAGAATTTTACATAAGCTCTGGTAAATTAGAGATAATATAATTGCATGAAAAAATTGAAATTTCGTGAGAGTGGAATATTTATTTATTTGCATAAGGTATATTTTATTAAGAGTAGCGAAAAATGATAACAGATAGTCGAAAAGGTTATTTAAAGAAAATTGAACTGAAAGGTTAGACGCTCGTTCGTTAGGCGAGCTTTCACTGTACGATATAATTATAATTATATATGTATGTATATATTGTTATATCTATATTTATATTTAAATTTGAATAGAGAGCAACTTTTCTAATTTACAATGTTGTTTATTGCTTCTCTCTCGCTCGGACAGGTTTCTGTCGCATGGTGGACAACAGCACGAGCAACAACTCCTCGGTGCTGGGCCTGCCCAGCAGTGGACATGTGAGCAACGCGGGCAGCTCAACTCTGACCATTGGGAGCCATGCGAATCCCAATAGCGTAGCTGGCGTAGCTGTTGGTGGTGTTGCCTCTATGAGCGGTGCAGCCGGAGCAGCAGCTGTAGCTGGTGCTGGTGTGGGCGTGGGCGTAGGCGTGAGCGTGGGCGCAGCTGGCGTGGGCATGACCAGCGATCTGTTGGCCAGCGCTGGTGGGGCACAGGGTGGCGGGGATCGCCTGGACGCGTCCAGTGACAGTGCGGTCAGTTCGATGGGCTCGGAGCGTGTACCCTCGCTCTCGGACGGCGAGTGGGGCGAGGGCAGCGACTCGGCACAGGATTATCACCAGGCCAAATACGGCGGGCCGTACGATTTTAGCTACAACAACAACAATACACGCCAGCCGCCGGTGGCACAGAAGAAGCATCAGCTATATGGCAAGCGGGATCTGCACAAGCAAACGCCCAGCGCCTTGACTGCCACAGCGCCGCCAGTGGCAGCCACGCCGCAGCCTCAGCAGCATCAGCAGCAACCGCAGGTGCAGAGCATCAAGTACGAGTATGAGGCGGGCGCGGCGGCCTTTACGGGCATGCAGCGCAGCGGGGGCAGCAGCAGCGTGGGCGAAGCCGCTGCCATGGCGCCGGTTCTGTCCAAGGACTATCATCAGGCGTACGGGATGAGCGCGGCCAGCGCCTTTACAGCTGATTACGGCATGCCACGTGCACCCCTGACATCGCAGGGCGTTGTCCAGCTGAATCACACATACGCACTGCCCCAAGGCAACGGAGCACTGCCCCAGGGCAGTGGCTCCCTAAGCAGACCGCATCCGCGCGACAAGAAGCCCGTTGCAGGTAGTAAACATGCCGCCAAGTCGGACAGCGGCAGCAGCAGTGCCAGCGCCATGGAGGACGAGCATTTGTCGCGGGACGAGAAGCGCGCCCGTGCTCTCAACATACCCATTGCCGTGGGCGACATCATCAATCTGCCCATGGACGAGTTCAATGAGCGCCTGTCCAAGTACGATCTGAGCGAGAATCAGCTGTCGCTGATACGTGACATTCGGCGGCGTGGCAAGAACAAGGTTGCGGCACAGAATTGCCGCAAGCGCAAACTGGATCAGATACTCACGCTGGAGGATGAGGTCAACACGGTGGTGAAGCGCAAGGCGCAGCTGAATCACGATCGGGATCAGCTCGAAACCGAACGCAAACGCATTTCCCACAAGTTTTCCATGCTGCATCGTCATGTTTTCCAGGTGAGTTTCCCCACAACAAATCCTGCCCCTTGAATCATTTAGCTAATGAAATCGTCCATCTGCAGTATCTGCGCGATCCCGAGGGCAATCCCTGCTCGCCGGCTGACTATAGCCTGCAGCAGGCGGCCGATGGTTCCGTCTATTTGCTGCCGCGCGACAAGCCCGACAATGGCGCCACGGCAACAGCTGCTTCCAGCGCGGTGACAGCCGGCAGCAGCAGCAGCAGTCAGCAGGCGGCGCTGCATCCGGTGCATCAGGGGCATCATCAGGTGCAGCCGCAGTCGCAGCACGTGCCACTGCAGCAGCAGCAACAACAACAGTCGCGCCTGCCACCACATTTGCAGCAGCAGGCGCCGCAGCATCATCAGCAGCAGCTTTTGCCACAGCAGCAGCAGCAGCAGCAACAGCAGCAACAACAGCAGCAACAACAGCAACAACAACAGCAACAGGCGCCGCATCAGCATCAGCATCACAAGGAATGAAAATATCTGCTGCGTATTGCCGCAACAACGAGTTGGTTGTCGAACTTTCAGCAGCAGCAACAGGAGCAGCAGCAGCAAATGCAGCGGCAACAGCAGCAAGAGCAACATTTGCAACAGCAACACTTGCAACAGCAGCAATGTTGCGAGCAGGCGTACGATTACCGTTACGATTTATACAACAACAGTTACCTGTACTACTGAGCCGTTGCCGCTCTTCGTCCTCTTCTTATTCAACTTCTGCTTCTTCTGTTGCACGCAACATGTTGCTGGCAACATTTGGTTGCAAAACACGGCGCGAAAAACGCTCGTGCATTTAACTGCAGCGGGCTTTACAGTTTTTCCTTTCATTTCCCCCACCCCCTCCTTTCTACTTTCTAACTTAGTCAAAATGTTTGTTATTTATTTTTAAATTCTTTTAAATTGCCTTTTCTTCAACATTTTCTTTATACATATATATATATATAGTTTATATATATATTTTCTTATATATTGAATACAATCCATAGCGCATGGTACGAAAATGTATACCTTACTTGTGATAAATAATTTGTGAATTTTGCATGAATATGTTTTGAAGCAGCAGCAACAATTAAATTAAAGCTTGTATTGAAAAACCATTTAAAAAACCCACTAAAAAATCCTCAGTCACACACACACACACACACATGCATACACCTCTATCAACGCGTCGTCCAAAAGAAACATGATGCTAAAAAAAACCATTTACATTTTAAATATTAGTTTATACGAAAAATAAAAAAAGAAAAAAGATGAGCACATGTATAAATAGCTGTTAGGTAAAAGTTTTGTAAGGGTTTTGAAAAAAAAAAGAATAAAATATTTTAAAATATTGCTGGACATTTCAGACTCGTTCGTAAGATGCCTAGTTTTAAGTACACATACACAAAAACACATACACACGCACACAAACACTCACACACATACAAAGTAAACCTTAAGAGAATTACAACAATTAGCGTATTATTTACTAATACTTTCTAAGGCTAGCTCATAAACAAAACTGTAAATACATTTTAATTAATTTAGTTTAAATATTCTAATTCATTTAAATAATCCACTCGATGCACTAGGCGAGAGCTAAATGTACATTTATCTACCAGTTAAAATACGAACGTAACAACAAGAGTTTAAAGTGAAAGAAAACAAAAACAAACAAAAAAAAAGAAGAAAAAAAAAACAAGAAAAACAAAAAGAAATATTAATATTTAATATTCTTACAAATGTCCTATTGCATAAAAACAAGAACTTATTTATATAACTGTACGCAGAGATCAGATTCAAAAGTAAACAGGTAAAACTATTGTTAAATACATATACCTAATATATGTACACGCATACATATACGCATAAATCTAAATTGTTGCAATTAATTTCGTGCATCTCAAAATAATTATCGCAAAATGTAAAACTAAAAAGAAATTAAAAAAAAAAAGAAAAAAAAACATGTGCGCAAAATAAAAAAACACAAAAAAACGCGAAATTATTTGTTTGTAAATTGTACTAAATAATTAAATACTATGTCTATAAATATTTACACACACACAAACACATACGTAATGAAATACATTTACATATTATATTAACACATACATTTAAAGTAAAAGTACTTATGTTCTGAATATTTCAAGCATTTCTTCCTCAGTTTTCAATGCGTCCAACTTTTTAGCAACGGATCTCCAGATACCAGTTGATGAAATGAGGACTATCCAGCTCCATCTGAGGAATTAAATCGTTATATTATTATCTGATATCCATAACAACAGTTTATTGACTAAGCTGAGTAAATTTGATTAACAGATTGACGGATATATTTTAAGTCCAAACATTAAATATATCTAATACCCACTTGTATGAATGTGTCTATATCTGGGCATGTAGATTTTATGTGAAAAGCTTGTATGCTTCAGAAAATATACAAACATTTCCCAAAAACAAAAACTGAATAAAAAGAAAGAAACTTACAAAAATAATATAAACACCATCGTTTGTTAATCTTTATCTATAAAATTCATATAATTTCTTAAGAGCTTACCTATTTACAGTCTCGATCAGAGGCTCTCAAGCTTATTTCGTCTAAAACTCTTTTTATAAAACTTTTTGTTTTGACTAACTGATGTGATTGGTGATCAACGCACAGCCAAAACCACAAGAGCTAGGAATAAGGAATTTTCACTGTAGCATCTTCCACCGAGAAGGCTTGGATTCTCTCAAGCGAAATTTCTTAAAGATTTTTAGAAATAAATGTCAACCTATTAGATCATTTACCCCCAATTTCACCAAGGAGGGATGGACTCCCCTCAACTAAATTTGAGCAAAGTTCTTTGAAAATGGTTCCGACGCCGATCGGACTGAAAACAAAAAAGGTTTACACAAACGTTTTTCGCGATTTTCCGCACAATTTCACAATTAGTTGCTTTGCTCGCTAAAGTGTTTTTAGAAACTTGCACCTGGAAAGCTCAACTAATTTATGTTTCAATATTTGTTGATTTAAGAACAGTTGTGATAACCATTTTATCCAAATAATTTTGAACTGATCGTAACTTAGCCAAATGGAGTCTCATTTTAAAATGTTAACCGTTCTGGGGTTTTGATTCTGTAGAGACGATTGCAAATTTTGAGTTTTTAATTTCAAAACCAACCCTATTTTGCTGTAATTTTGCCGTAAGGCTTTGCTATTTTTTAAAAATTTTATAGAAGTTTAGAATCTTGATTTTTGAATGCCAATCGATTGTTTCCATCCGTACGAGTCCAAACTGGTATATCATTTAACAAACGGATGTAATATATTAGCTAGATATTTGAATTCCTTAATTTTTAATAACTTTAAAATAACATGTTTAAATGAAGTTCGATCCTCCGAAGTTGCCAGCCACTTTGGAGTTCATATTGGATAATCTTAGCAAGCAAATAACACCGTCTGCTCTGCAATAGGCTATGCTTTAAAAATATATTTGGCTTCCTAAAAGTATGCTAGAAAAAGTAACAGCGCATAAAATTATTAAGCCAAAACAAAATAATTAAAGGCATTCTTTTTCGAATGGAACACAATTACAAAAAATACACTTGTGTCTAGGTTAATTTGAATATAAAACGAGGAATTCTTGTGTATATAATTCATTCAGGTATATTTTCGGTCTTTTAATTTTTACAATCTTTGTGACACTTAATATGTCGATAAAATACATCAATTAACATTCACATATGCTCATTCCATTTATTGTCCACACAGTATTTAATAACAATTCAAAGCTCAATCTGCATTTTTTTTTTTTGAATAAGTGTACATATATATTTGACTAATCATTGAGTAATTGAGATATTGAACAATTATCGTTTAAGGTAGCTTTAAAATTCATATAACTTGTTGTTTTGCACTATATCATTTTTGTGAGCTTTACATATATGTATATACTTAGCTAGGATAAGTGTATAGGGTTTATACGCTCATACGAGGAAGTTGCAGCATTTTGGTTTCATTATATCGTTCATGGTATTTGTTTATAATATCAATTTGATGCTTATTTATATAGTAAATTCATTAAAAACTAACACTAACGCAGAAAATACACTAAAATCAATTAATGTTTTACAAAATACAAGCCAGAGACGTTTCAAGGATCTGCATCTGGTTCTTTAGGGGTTCTTTAGGATGTCACAGCTAAGAGAGCCGCATCTGAGTGGCCTCTGCTTAAACTAACTATCTATATGTGTATATGTATGTATATAGTCTAATTAGAATTCTAGGAGCCTACACTTAGAATACAACATCAGTTTGGGTTCGCTGTGCTCGGTTTGAATATCAGCAGATGGAATCGATGGGCAGCTGATCCTGCTTGATGCTCAGTCGTCGCGGATTCGATTGCTTGGCACGGGCGCTGCCATTGCCATTGCCATTGCCGTTGCCAGGTGCAGCGGGAGCAGCTGGTGCAGCGGATGGAGCAATCGTGTTCAGTGTGCTGAGACTGTTGCTGTGGCTGTAGTTGCTGCTGTTTATGGAATTACCGGAGTTGGTTCTCTCATTAATACTTGTTAGGTTGGGTATGCTCGGCGCCGTGGTCGTTATGGATATATTGTGGCCGCCCATGGTGAACAAGGCGCCATGCTTGCCATGGCCGTGACCGTGGCTCTGGCTGTGGTGGTGGTTGTTATTGTTGTTGTTCAGCGGCTCCAGTTCGCTGGCCAGGACGCCGTTCGGTATGGAATGCGAGCGTATTTGCAAACGGCCCGAGTCCAAAGACTCATCGCTGGCCGGATCCAGATGGTCCACAGAAGCGGCCGAGGCAATGCGCTGAAACATGCTGGCCGCGGAGAGCGTCCGATCCGCAAATGGCACTGAAAATTATAAATTCAATGATGATAAATATCTGCTGGCAGTGGGTAATCAAAGGATGGACTTACCTATGCCGCTCTTGGCGCTGCGCGTGCACTCGGACTTGAGCTCGTCCAGCTGTTTGGCGCTGCACAGGGGCGTGTCCACGTCGTAGGTGTTGTTGAACAGCGTATAGTCGACCTCATACTCGCCGGTCTCCTTGCGGAAGGACACCACATTGACGAAGCGATGGCCCCACAGTATCTCCGAGGGCAGATAGCTGCTGCGCGCCTGCGTGGTCATGCCCGTGGACTCAATGACGCCCTCTGTAAGGGAAGGATTAGTCCCAGGCTCAAGTGTAGCTGCTGTTGACCCAACTTACCCAGCATGACGACAACCTCGAAGCGCTCCTTGAGCATATCCGAGGCGGAGAGCATGTAGAGCGGACTGTTCCGATCGATCTTGTGCACAATGGTCGTCGGCCAGATGAACATCAGCCGATCCTCGCCACCATCGGCGCCCACATGCAGCTCCTGCTGATAGAAGGGCAGCACCTCTCCCTCCTTGGTCACCTTCTTGCGTATGACCTGGGCACGCACGTGCGCCTCAATTATGTGGGATTTGCGCATGTCACCCACTCGGAACATCAGACATGGCGTCCCATCCCTGTGACAGATGACCGCATTCCTCGAGAAGAGCAGCGTCTGGGCGCGTTTCTTGGGACGCGACAGCTTGGCAAACACAATGCCCACCATGAAGGCCTGTATGAAGACGCCCGTGATGCACTGGATGCACATGGTGAATATCGCCTCCGGGCACTCCTCGGTCACATAGCGATTGCCATAGCCGATGGTCGTTTGCGTCTCCACAGAGTATAGAAAGGCCGTCATTATGCCCTTCACCTCCGTCACGCAAACCGTGTGCGTCATATTGACAATCAGCTCCGGTTGCGTATTGCGCAGATGTATGTACTCCAGATCGTTGTGGGCAAAGGCAATCGTCCACCAGATGAACCCGAAGAAGGCCCAGGAGATGACAAAACTGGCCGCAAACACCAGCAGCGTCCAGCGCCACTGTGCGTCCACGAGTGTGGTGAAGATGTCCTGGAAGGAGAGAGGAAGAGATGTGTTTAGTGCAGGGCAATATCGAACCGGTTCAAATCTTAAATTCCAGGTTATATTTCACTATAAAGCGAACTTGGAACCGAACCTTTTTAGCTTTTGAATATTAAAATGAACCAATTTGCAATGTTAAATGAGCTTATTTTAATATAAATAATATTATTCAAAAAACTAATTTATTTAATTTTTAACCGGCGTTAAAGAAGCAGGTTCACGAACCGCACGAGTCAGTGGTTCGCGCCGCTAACTTTAACGGCAGCCAAGGTAAAAAGGAGCTCCCCTTGAATTAGATATGCGCAGCTAAATTTAAATCGGCCTCATTTGCATAATCCGCACATGTTTTCAAATCAATGCGTGTGCGTGTCGTGTGAGTGGGTGTGAGTGTGAGCGTGAGCGTGTGTGTCTTTGGCTAAATGTAAAACGGACTCCTCACCTGCAAATAGCGGCGACGTCTCTTGGCCACGTTGCCTTGCACCACGTTGCACTCGCCATGCTTGAAGACGACACGTTTACGCACACGTCGCGAGCTAAAACGTGTCTGCCGATACCTATGTGAAAGGAAGAGAGCAAAAGGGAGTCCAGTTATTTAAGAGATTTAAGCAATCGAACAGATTCACATAAAAGTGTCTGTATGTGTGTGTGTGCGTTTTTAAGGAGGACTTTTTCTGTTTTGGGTTTTTATATAATTTAATTTCCCCTCTTGAGCGAAGTGATTATAAATATTGGTATATTTAAAAGGGATTATAAATATTGGTATATATAAAGAGTGTGCGTATGTGTGCCTTTAAGGAGGTCTATTTCTGTGACATTGCGGTTGCCTTTTATATAATCTCTGCACTTTCTTTACTCTAATTCGAGAATTAAAATCTCGCGAATTTAAAATAATTTTGAAATTGTTAAAGACATATTCCATCAATTTAGCATTTTCAATTTTCGCAAAAATTTGTTTTTACAAATATTACTTCGTTTTTCTTAATATTTGAATAATACTTATTTTAATTTTATAATAATTTAAAAAAAAAAATCATTTTTTTTTTAAAAATTTGTTTATAGACTTATAATTCTTTTCGCAAATAAAAGTTATTTCTAAAAGCGAGCGTCTACTGTATTCATAGATGTAATTGTTTTGTGTCACCTAGGTTTGGTTTGTTGTCCTATTTATGTACTCTTATCAGTAGAACTGATAGCCTGTATATGTACTTATGGTCTATCTCTTTAAAATTTCTATTCACATCTGTTGTCGTCTCTGTCAATTTTATATTTGTCACAGTTGGTTCCCGAACAATTCTTTGAAACACGTGATTAAGTATGTAGATAACAATTTCCCCTTTTCTTGGGAATTCAATTTAAATTCCTCTTACAAAATTTTCAGCATTTATAAATTACATAATGGAAAAAAACACATATTAGTTGGATAGTTAAGTTAAGTACCTATTTACATATATATACATATGTATATATATTTAAGTGGGGAGTGTAAAAACAGATGACTGGCAACAAGAGATAAATACTTAAAGTAACAGAAGATTTTCCATTGCCATTGTGATTGATAAATCGTGGCAAAAACGGGAAGTGTATATTCGTGCATATCTACATACATTATATATAAAGAGATATGCACGAGCACAATACAAATATTTTATTTTTAAACAACAAAAGACGCACTGTCCGAGAGGTTCAAGAGCTAATTGCTATCCAGACAGCATTTAAGGTCTTGTTTAATATTTTATACACTATAACTAAACCAATTACCAGATCAGAGTCTGTGCTAAAACGCTGCTGAAGCACAGGACAATCACAAAGCCAATAAAGATGTGCATTAAAAGTAAGAATGTGGTCAAAAAATTAAAGTCAAAAAATTATATAAGATGCACTCAGACTCATCAGTTGTTTAAACAAATAAAATGCTAAATATTATATTTCGGCGATCCTTCCGCTACGTCCTCAATAAACTGAACTCATGCAGAAATTCACATGTGCTTTCTGCCGGAGCTTTCTGTCGGAAGCTTTCACACAATCACGGATCAAGAGTCAAATTCGCACTGTGAGACGGATTCGATACGCGGCCGTTTGCAGTTGCGCTCAGCCATTGTTGCTGTAATCGCAGAATTTAACTGTAAACTGAAACGCTACTTACATTCAAAGCAACAACAACAACAACAGCAGCAGCAGCAGCAGCGACAGCAGCTGACATTTGTTGCTCTTGTTGCAGTTCTTTCTTACATTGCATTGCAATTTCACGCTTTATCTGCGCTGTTCGCTTCATTCTGCCTACTTATGCAAAAGTCCCCACATGGGGACCACACAATTAAAGCTCATAAATACCCTCTTGAGCTTATACTCAAAGCTCTGAATGCAAAGGGCGCGCTCACGAGAGCATTTGTAATGAGAAACAGTCAACAAAGCAACTAAAAAAAAATGATCAATGGACTCGATAGTTGGTTTTTAGAGTTCTAGCTAAACGTTTGTGCTCTTATATTGAAGAGAATTAAAAGAGTAGCTCTGTTGAGCACCTGTCTCCTCTCCTGATGCACGCTCACAACTGAGAGATTATTTATTTATTTATGCTGATGTCAACTCCGGACGTTGACAAATCGTTTGCCGAGCGTTGCTCCAACGTTTAAGCTGTGCAAAAATTCGTAGAAATTGCCATCGAACTTGACAATAACGTTTATTGGTTTGAGCTTTCGAAATTTGTGGTTGTTTTCTAAGTAATCGCATGCAAATAAACCGGGTTTTAAAGCGTTGTTATACCCTGTACATAAGTAATGATTAGGAATGGTATATAGAGATGTACGTATAGCTGAAGCAGAAGCAGAAAACAAAGGACTATAAAGTATAATCAGTGTTAAGAGTTAAATCAATATGTGTTCATTCGCCTGTCTATCTGAACTATTTTAATGCGTTCACTCTGCTCCATCGAAACTATAATTAGAGCTCATGGATATATCTTGTATCTCTATACGGTTCTCATTACATCAAGTAAGACAGATTTTGTAATTTTTTTGGTGATCTCATTCTCTATTTTTCGTACACTCACTTTCTCTGTCTTTCTCTTTCTCTCTTACTCCCTTTTTCTCTTACTCTCTCTCTCCCTCTCTTACTCTCTCTCTATCTCTCGTTTTTTCTTACTTGCTTTTTCTCCTTCTCTCTCTCTCTCTTACACATTTCTACTTTCTCTTTCTTCTTTGCAATCACTCACGCACTCTCTTTCAGAAACTCAAAAACGTCTTGTTTATTACTTTTCACTTGATTCGTTCCTCGCAATATTTATCGCCCTTCTATATGGTTCTCAAAACATCAAGTGAGACTTTTACATTCTGTTAACATTTTTTTCAAGAGTGTATAGTTTAATCACATGCTAATCTGGTTCGCGTGTTTTAGAGGGTGTTTGTAGGTGCATATAATTCAATACAAACATATGTACATATATTAGCGTAAGGGGAAACTGAATACAGGGTACAACTTAGTTGAAAATTCTCTGTTAGATCAGTCTGGTTTTTATTTTGTGAACTGCAACTTTGCATTACTTATGGACAGATGACTAAACTGGCAAAGGCAGTTTCTGCCGTAGATCTTAACGTGGTTGCCAAAGGCGGGTAGACAAGTTCAATGGAATTGCACTGAGTCATTCGGAGAGGTTTTGAATAACATCAAGAAAGATCAGCTGAAATGCTACAAATTGTGGATAACGAATTAAAATACAAAGTTTTTAATGACAAAGATCAAAAACGAACTTGAAAATATTTATTAATTAGTTATAAATTAAATAATAAACACTCAAGGTATATGCAAACATTTTGTATATAAATTTGACAAGAAACTCAGCTCAGCTCCTAAACATTATGACATGGATCTATATAATATAGATAAGTAAAGTTGCTTAATTGCACGCAATTAAATGTTTCGAGATAAAAACAATAATAAAAGGCAAACCTGATCTTAGACATTGCGAAAGTTATGGCTAATCAGTGGAGGGTTTTCGCTCAAATGCACTTCTTGAAAAGTTCTTGGCCAATTGCCAAACAATCCATAATCGCAATGCAACTAAAGAGCAGAAACTGTAAAAAGTTAGCTGACTATATAAAGTTGACCGAGGTCGTAAATAAATTATTGACGTCATTTGGGACTAGTGGTAAAATGATTTTCAGTTTATATAAAGTAAGCGATGTCTTCAAACAATTTGTATGTATTAATCAAGGCTACAAAACGGGTTTGAATTGAACCATATTAAAATCCGTAATTCCGAGGCACAATTGACTTTGAAAGGGTATACAAATCTGTTAATATAACATGCTGAACTACAAAATGATATATAACCAAAACTGAACTTAAGAGAGAGGCAGTTGTCCGAGCCGTGAACCTTATTTGCAGGTTTGTCACGATCTATATGTTTATATATTATATATCTATATCTATCTATCTGTCTCGACTAGTATATAGCACATAAATCATGTCAGAAAGGGCAACAACAATAACACAAGCCATTTATCGTAAATTTAAATATGATTTTCGTTTTTGTGCGAGTGCAGTGCCAAAATGTAAATGCCAAAAGTCATATGCAAAATTGCATTTTACAGTCTAAAGGTATGAATATATTATATGTAATTATATATATTTATAAGTATATCTACATAAACTATCGATAGAGTTGTCAAATGCAAATGCTACCTTTGGACATTGAACCACGTGTGCGCTGTGTAAACAAATTTGTTTAAACGCTGCTTCCTTTTGTATTATAGCAAAGCAGATGTTTCAGTATATATATTATATAGATCACACTTATACATATGTATTCTTTATATACATATATTTATGTACCTTTATATTTATAGCTATGCTTTAAACAATTGCCAGCGGCAATAATAGGCAGTAAACAGCGCCTGGAAAAGCGTTGCATGCAAATATTTGTGGCAGCATTTAATTAAAGAGTTGTTTTCCCTTTAATGAAATGTACACACATCGATCTATATAAACATATAGACATACTAACTAGCTTAAACAGAGCACAGCTGCACACTTGTTTAAATAAAATATAAAATACATATATACTAAATAGCTGCTAGAAGAGTCCGAAGTCATCGATAAACGATTCTTACTAATCGATACACAGGGAAAACTTCGCGATCGGACTGTTTTTTTTTGAACAGTTTCTTACTTTTCCTTGAGCCTTTAAACCAACTCAAAGGGAGATTTCAATCGATAATTATCACATATTTACAAATTTTGACTACCAAAATGGAAAATGTTTGCCACAATCTTTTTTATTTATTACCAACACACTTTTTTGAAAATACTTGTAACTTTATATACTATATATATCTATATGAATACATGTTTTCATGTGATTTTGTCAAGTTCTTAACATCGCTCTTTAGCAGACCAAAAGAGACGGACATAAAAGCTGTCCGCTCACGCGAGCATTCACTGTAGCCAAACATTACCTCAACAGCTCCTCGCACCAGGACTGTTCACTGGAATGCGTTGCCCGATAAACAATCGTCGATAGGCGACTGAAACTGCGTCGTAGCTCCGACATGTTGTTGTT